TAGGGATAATAAAAGCATTGACTTGCCAGGGTTGTTGTGAGAATAAAAATAATATTTGTAAAGCACTTTGCAAAGTGCCACATAAATGCTAGCTATTGTTAATATTATGATTCATCTCTATTCTTTGGGACTCTCGGTTTGCATTGATCAGAGTTCTAGTCTTCCAAGTTATTTTTCTCCATAAAGTTATTATTATGTTGTATAAGTGGTTCTAGTTTTGCTCACTTTGCTCTACATTAGTTCAAAAAGCTCTTCACCATTTCCTCTGAAATTCTCCATTTCATAATTTCTTGTGGCAAAATAATATTCCATTGCATTTATATACTACATTTTGTTTAACCTTTCCAGATATGAGATTAGCCCTCAAGTTTCTAATGTTTGCCTTGTGTGGTTTTGTACACATACCTCCTTTTCTTCTTTGCTTTCTTTGGGTGTACAGGTCTCCTAATGGCATAGCTGGGTCAAAATGCATGTGAGTTTTAGTAAATTTGGGAGCATATTTCCAAACTGCTTTCTAGAACGGCTGATTCAATTCCCAGTTCCACCAACAGTCCAGTAATACACTTACATTCCCATAGCCTGTACAACATTTGTCATTTTCTCCTTTTGTCGTCACTATTAGTATGATAGGCGTGAGGTGAAATCCTAAAAGTTACTTTAATTTTCATTTCTCCAATTATTAGAGATTTAGAACATTTTTCCATATACTTGTTGATAGTTTGGATTTCTTCCCACTGACTGTTCATATGCTTTGACCACTTATCTATTGGGGAATGACTCCTATTCTTCTGAAATTGAATCAGTTACATAGGTATTAAACGTGAGATCTCTATCAGAGAAAGTTGCTTCAAAGACCCCTCCCCCTCCAGTTAACTGTGAATTACCCTTCTCTGGCCACTACTCCTTTATATATGTTGTCTCCCCTTACCTAGAATGTAAGTTTGTTGAGAGCAAAAACTGTCTTATTTGGGTACAAAGGACCATTTTAGTAAAGATTTTCTTTTGGTAACTTGAATATTCCTTTTCTTATGCTAGAGAACACATCTAGGCAAATGTCAAAAATTAAAGCATTTTAATTTTTAATTAAAATTTTTTCTTTGTATAATATGACTCAGAAGTCTCCTTCCTGAAGAATATCATTGCTTCTATACCCACAAGATTAACTCATGTTCAGATGTAAAAAATAAAGGGTAATCCCATTGGAACAACTGAATGTGATGTTTTGTCAAACATTAAGTGTTGATTTCCAAAAGGATTTTTTAAAAAGATGTTTGCTCCTAGAACCAGGAAAACATTATGCACAGTAATAGCCACATTGTGTGATGACTAACTTTGATAGACTTAGCTCTTCTCAGCAGTGCAAGGATCTAAGATATCTCTGAAAGTCTCATGACACAAAATACTATCCATATCCAAAGAAAGAACTATGGAGTCTGAATGCAGATCGAAGCATACTATTTGCTTTTTTTTTCTTTTCTTTTCTTTTGTTTCTTTTTCCTTGTGGTTGTTGCTGTTGGTTCTAATTCTTCTTTACAATATGACTAATGTGAAAATATGTTTAATAGGAATGTATATGTAGAGCCTATATCAGATTACATGCCATCTCGGGGAGGTAGGCGGGGAGGGAGGGAGAGAAAGTTTGAAACTCAAAAGCTTATACAAGTGAATGTTGAAAATAAAAATAAATTAATTAATTAAAAAGTTTCAAGATATTTGATCCTCTCTTCATGCTACAAATATTGCCTTTTTAAAAAAAACTACCAGGTTACATCGCTGTAGAAGGATTTTGGATAATACAAAATGTATTTGATAGCTTTAATCTTCACAGTGATATTCATTTGACAGATAACCTACAGGAAAAGAACAAGAAACAAAACAAGATTGTAATCTACTTTAGTATGATACGATTGAATATTAAGGTCTTCTCTTTGTTTCTCTTCTAGGTCTTGCAATTGCCAGTGCCCTCATAGACATTTCACAGCAGAAGCCAGCGGATAGTAAAGAGAAGTCTTCAGGTGTCCGAAATCGAAAACATCACCTTTCAACACGTCAAGGAACTTGTGTCTGAGGTCCAGAAACTGCACTTGTATAGTCTGTATTATTTTTCTTTTCAAATGGCTTCCATTGAAAGCTATCCCACAGCCTCAGTTTTTATGGAGGCAAAAATCTCTGATCATAAGTTCAGAGTCCTGGTCCTTTCACATGTGCACTCCAAACTAGAACTTGTGGGCCCAAATGAGGACATGAAATGACCTTCTATGAGGAACATAATTGAAGTTCACAAACAGCAAAGTCCATTTTTACATTAACCTTAAGCATATCAGAGATACACTTGTATCAGTCATGGGAAAAGCTGTATGTAGATTATTTCCTAATGAGGATAGGGGATAAGTATAATTATTGGGTTGGGGGTGGGGGGACTGTTACAAAACTGAAAGGAAAAAAAAATGTTTTTGATTCCTGAATGGTCAGAATTATACCACTTTCTCCATATAAGCAAATTTAGACTAACCAAACATAACCAGGAATTGAACCCATTGCTATGGATTTTAGATATTGGTTTATCTCACTGTAATTGTGAGAGCAAATCACTAAGTTAGTAGAATGTAGATATTACATTAACCTCTTTTATAGGGCCATAGTACATCAGAAAACAGTCTGGGAACATGAAGATTATTTACGCAACTGGAAAGCAGACTCGGATGAGCCAGGTTTGGTGGAGACCATGTGCCCTTCCACCAGAGGCTTATTAGAATTCTGAGTGAAGAGAACATCCCTGCCTTCTATGCCAACTGACTAACTCATTATCAGAGCTGATAGAGCATGGAAAAGCCTGTCCAGCAATCAATTTCTCCCTTCTTTCCAAAAACAGCCTCCAACATTTCAAACCTAAAGAGAGTATAAATTGTTATTTTACAAGTGTGCACGCTTCTGTTCCAGTATGGAAATATTTTAATTGCCTAAGAATCATTGCCTCACGCCAAAAATGACCTGCCTGCAGCTTTGCCAAAACTACAATCTTCATTTGGTGTTCCTCTCCCAGTTGCTGAATTCTGTACCTTCCACAAACTCAGTGAGCTATATATTTTAAAGCCGATACATCCCAATTTACAATGTGACCTCAGTTCCCCATGCCACCAACTGTTTCACTTAGAATAGGATTCAAGAAGAACATTTGGTCGCCAATGCCAACAGCATTCTTGCCTCTAAACATGAGTCCGAGATACTGAATGGGCCTCCATGACCAGAGTACTGGCTACAGCTAACACAACTCCTTATGGGCCCACACTCACTGTATTCTTAAGGACTGAAACATCTGAACCAAGACGAAAAGAAAAAGGATTTTACAATAACTCAAGTTGAACTGGATCTTATTCTCATGTGGCCGACAGCAGTTGATTCAAGCTCAGTACTTTTCCTAGAGCTTGATTGGAATTGCAATTTCTCAACTTCATGTAGAGAGCAGCAGCAGAGGAGTCCATGCCTCTTATAAATAACAATTTTACTAAAGAAGAAAAGATTTTAAATTATAATTGACGTTCAATACTTCATCAGTATTTTCCATTTTCTTTTGATTTCAGGGAGGTAATGACATTTTGTTGTTTCCAATTGACTGCATAGTTATTTGCATGCCATGGTGGTACACTAACAGAATAAGACCCTGTTGTGAACTTCTGTGCTTATTTCATGCCATTTTTTACACAGAGATGTGGCTTAATTTTGAGTACTGAATGTACAAACATATCAGAAATGGCTCATATGATACATAGTTACATCTTACGCAGGACTGTTAGGTTGTGTCTAATCATGACTATCACTGTTTCTATAACCAGACATTTACGGATTATAAATAATGTGTATCCCTTATGTTGGCATGACAGTTTGAGCCTTTTTCATGCGTTAAAATAATACTCCTCCTTAGAACAATCCCATCAATATCCTGTGATTTTTTTAATGATTATTTTGAACTCCTGTTGTTCCATGCCATAGAAAAAGGTTAAATGGGCTTATTTTTCAAACTTTTACTGGAAATAGTCACTGAGTGTTACTATCTTTGAAACATTTAAACAGTTTTTTTTCTTTGATGTTTTAAATGAAGATTTGCTGAAGGAAAAGATAAATGGACATGACCAGTGATGACAAAAATAAGCACTTAAAAATTGAACTATGTGGTTGCACTGTTTGTTTTATTCTGCAAGTTTTCATAACACATAGTTTAATAGCAAAGACATAGTTTTGTAGGTTTCATGGGGGAACCTGAGTTAACTGTACGTTAGGAGAGGTTGAGATAATGGCATTATTCACTTGAGAGAAAGATGATTTTCATCTACCTAAAATCCACCTTGGTTCACATAACTTGAAAATGTGAACTTTTCAATATTATATTCTGTATGACAATGTTTAAGACTGACAAGCATCAGTTAGATATTTCATTAGGTTGACTAAGGCCATAATGCATATCTTATACTGTGGTAACAATGATACTTTCGTTATGCAACATTCTCATAACATGTCAAAGAGTTCCCTAATAACTGAACTCTGCATCCTCAGACATGTTCATTTGAAAAGACTCTAGGAATGACCAGCAGCTGTCTGTCCACAGCATGGATATTTTGCTTGTTTATCAGACCAGATGTTAGGCTATTGAAAATATGCAATTGATAGGGACAAAATTTTAACAGCCTTAAATAATCGGTTCTCTTACCAACACATGCCCTAGAAATAATTGTAAATCACCTTAGTATTGTTCTAGTTCGTAGGTTTTGTGGTTTTGCAGGTGTGAAAAAGTATTGATTATTTAAATGCAATGAAGTGGTCAGAACTAACCTGGAAGAACTGTTGAAAAGAGTCTAAGAATTCTTGTATATGGGATAAATATGACTCCAGATGAGTTTGCTAGGTTTTAAAATAGCCAGGACTTTTAAAATTGGCTTTAATCAAAACCTAGTTCTATAACTATTGAGTGACCCTCAGATACTTGTTCACCTATTTCCACAAGTTGTTTTCCAAATTCATGATTGATTTCTTGTCAAAAGTTATTTTTCCTTGATTTTCCAATCAGGAGCTTTTTGCACATAAATATTATAGAAGAAACCGTTTTGTTAAGATCAAATTTAATCTGAGATATCAGAGGTCACCTCTGAAATCATGAAATTTCTAACAATGTCCATCAATGACTGGATCAACAGTGACTATGATTATATCTCTAAATCTCCCTATTCTAAATTGTTTACTTCATCATGATATTTGTCAAATTACTATTTCCCATATACTAACTGCATTAAACTCAAACTTCTGTTAAAGTTAGTTTTCCTTTACAGATTGAAGGGTACAAGAAAATGCAAACTCATAATTTTGTTATAATTTGTTTTGAATGTTGTAACATGTATATTTACCTTATACATATATAATATATGCAAATCTTCAATCTATTCAAGTGAATTGCTTCTTTCTCTCACTTCCTTCATTTTTATAAACTTCAAAAGTTATTTTCATTATGGTGAAGATGGATTTTTCTACAGTATTACAAAAGCTCCCCTTTAATAATGAAGTCTTTACCATGCTCCCTCATTTCCAAGGAACATAAGCAGTATAATTGTTTTTAAATATTTGTTTTCATTAAAATATTTATTTTGCACATATTGCTACTTTTAATTGATAGTGCTATCATCATTGTAATTCCCTTACACAGAAATATGCAGAGGTCAAAACTAAAAAAGTTCTAACATACTATAGAGACTGGATTTTTGACATTCAATGAGTTACAAAAAGGGCTTTAAAGATTTTTTTTTGGAAATGCAAGTATTGCATCTTTCTACTTCAGTTATATGAAGGTCATATTTCTCTTGGCCTCTTCTTCCTTACTGTACAAGAGGCACAATAACCAAGAACCTGTAAAATCCACTTTCCTATCATATAAAATTTGGTTAATGCTATTTGTATGAGTGAATTTCCTTACCTGTGAAAGAAGAGAAATCTCCATGACTGTCATTCATCCTGTATCCTTGGCCTTTTCCTCAGATTCATTCAATGGTGGAATGAGCAATCATCATCATGAAGATTGTTCGTGGGTGAGAACAGGGGCCTAATTCAGAAGAGACCAATTGCCCAGTGTCCCTGTCCTGGTTACAGAAAGAGAGGTTAGCTATAAATATAAATGTCTCTGCCCACAGTAACACATGCATTCTTTAAATTAATTGCTCTTAATTAATACTAAAGTCAAGTGCTTGTCAAACTCCTCTGAGTTTAGCACAGGCAGGAGCTGTAGAGTTTTCTAAAAACTGACATATCCTATTGTTTAATTTCAGAGTCAATAATGAAATTGCCACCACCTGTGCCAATTTTTTTTTTGGTGGTTTTCTATCTGACCTTTATATGATACCCCACAGGAAGTGGCCAGCCACTTTCTTCTCACTGTGGGTTCTTCCTTCCCCATATTGGGAAAAAAAAAAACCACTCCAACCTTCTCATAATTATTCCTGACATTTATATAGTGCAAAGTGATGTATATATATATATATATATATATATATATATATATATATATATATATAGGGAGAGAGAGATATGTATATATATGTATATATGTATATATATACGTATACACACACACATATATATGTGTGTATATATATATGTGTGTGTGTATATATATATATATATATATACACACACACACGCACATATATCACATACATAAATATAATCTGATATTGATAATAACCCTGTAAGGTAGGTGCTATTGTTGACCTCTTCTTGCAGATGAGGAAACTGGGGATAAGAGAGATTCAATGGCTTTCCCAAGGTCAAACAGCTAGCAAGTTAGGTAGAATTTGAACTCAAGTCTTCCCAGCTCCAAGTCCAGCAACTTTTTCTCTCCTGAATTGAAAGGTACACATGATAGCCTAACAGATGCATTCCAGTCTGTTTGGCCTCTTTTTATACCTCTCAGTCCATTTCATTTCTCAGGCCTTACTTTCCTCATTTGTAAAACATGCATTGGACTAGATGACATTTAAGGGGCCTTTCTAGCTCTACATCTGTCATTCTTTCTCACTGGAAGTCTTCAGATGGTAGGTGACTATTTGTTGGGCACCTCAAAGTGATTCTTATTCCTATGGACTAGGAAGCTTTTGAGGGCTAGTTGCAAACATGAGGTTTTGTCGATGATTCTATGAGGTAGGAGTCATTTGGATGAAGGGTTGCCTTGGATGAAGGGAAACTTATTAGATAGCCCTTGAGGTACAAGGCATTTTAAGCCAAAAAGGACCTGTGCTGACAAGGCCAGGTGCCAAATGTGTCTGAAGCCATTAAGGCGCCTTCTGCAACTGTGGAGGTAATGGTTTGGGAAGGGAGTGGCCATTGGGTCTACTCTTCAAGCATAGCAACCAAAGTCTGATGATGATTAAGTGGGCCATGGCTTTATTGAAATAAGTTTATGGGGATGTTCACGCTAAATAGAAATATCTAAAACACAGACTTTTTATTGTTTTGAATCAGTTTAACTCTAGAAATCATCAACTTTTTTTACTCACTCTCCCTGGAGGACACACTTACTTCACAGAAACCACCTCCTGCCTGTGGATAAAATGAAGCTCAGTCTGTGGGGAATGAGGCACTCTGTTTTTCCACGATGTCTAGAGCTGATCAAAAAAAAAATTTGGCTTCAATTTTGTAAGATTAATTCCCTGGCATTCTTCATCAAGCCAAAACCAATGAAACACCTCATCCGCAATACTTGCCTAATCATAACATCTGTACTTTCCCATTATATTTTGTTTTGGTTTGGTTTTCAACCATTCCTGTTTATGGCGATAGCAGCCATTTCACTCAGGCAGAATTGTTTAAATATAATAACTGGCTTTAAAAAAAAGTTAGGTGTGGCTGTGTGCATGGTTAATTGAGATAAAGCCCCCTTACCTGTATGCATGAGGAATGTCTGGAATATATCATAAAAAAATTAATGAGTGAATTCATATAATATCTTTATATTTGCATGACCTCTTTTTGCACAAGGATGTCTCAAGATGCATAAGTGTGTTTGCTCCATGATCTATAGTTACTGAAAGTTCCACATTATCCAGTATGAGGGACAGGACCTAGTGTCAGGAGAAACTCAAGTTTTACTATCAATTCATATGCCAGATCTTTTTTCAACTTTGGGCATGTTATCTAACCTCTCCTTTCTTCAGGTCCTAAATCAAGAAAATGGGATTAAAATGCCAACCTACCTCACTTAGATGTTGTGACGGTTTGTGGTGTTTGTTGGAAGGAAAAAAGTAAAATATGGTTATAGATTTTTCTACTTTTACTATCAGTATGTCTGGGTATGGATTCAGTAATACTCTACAAGAATCAGTTCATTCTAAAGAGAATGTTTGTCCCAACATAGCATATATTTATATACCAAAACTCCCTTTTCAATTAAGCTGAAATTAATCCCATTGGTGTAATTCTTCTAATAATTCCCAGCTATATTTTGTTCTTTCCTCCCATGACATGTTTCAGGTTCATGGATTTCCAGTATCTTAAATAAGGCTTAATATCAAATACTAGGCCATTAGGTTAAGCCTGCTCTGCTATTGTTAAACAGCTCTCTTGACCTTGTTCATCAGTTAGTCAAGTTCAAGAGTAAATCTTTGAGAGTGGAAAAAGAGCTCTATCCAAGAGACACACTGGTGCTTTTAAAAAGCAAACAGAAAATGTTTCATAGATCCTCTTCGCTTTGTGCTTTCCTGTAACAATGCTGGTTGGCAGCAATGATTTTTTTTTCCTGAGGAGATCAGTTTGTTTGAAATACGGTGGCACTTTAAAGTGAAGGCCAGCTGGAAGGACACCAATAAAAATACCAACTCAGCTTAAAACAATTTGATTTCAACTCCAAAATGAAATATCTGCAGTACACATATATAATGGTAGCCAGGATATTCTACTTATCAAGACTATTCCCTAATGAAAATCACAACACTAGATTCATTTGAAGCTGTCTTTCCCCTGTGAGGAGAAAAAAATAACTACACTCCCCCCTCCAAACCCACACACAAAGAGTAACCATTTATCTCAGTAAAGAAAATCATCACTCAGTGACTGCTCTGATTCAACACTTCTCTAAAATTACTGGTTCATTTTGACCTTTCCATAGGAAAAAATACATTCTGCATCAGCTATTTAAAGCAGTAATTATTTTCTATTGAAGGGCAGGAGGGTAGTGATTAAAGAAAAAAAATCCTTGTATTATTTTCCAATATAAGCCAATTCAACAAACATTTAAGTATCCACTATATGCCTGCTTCTGTTCTAGGGCTTTGGGAGATACAAAGACAAATATGAAAATGATCCACACCCTCAAGGTACTTACAGTCTATTCATCTCCTGATGGTTCTATTTATAAGGAGTCACAGAAGTCCTGGGGGTGTTTCTACAGGCCAAACCTTCATGGTAAAGGCAAACAGTTAATTACCTAGTAGCATGGCTGCCTTTTCTAATATCTACAGGATGGCTTTGCTATTAGCTTTCATGTTAACCAATTCAAAACAGTTTATACAATTAGCATTTCTAGGAAGCCTGAGGACATTGCCCGAGGTGAAGTCTATGGGATAGAAAATAATTTTGTTTTCTTTTAAAATATAGGTTCCAGAGTTTATAGGTCTATGAAAATTGATGGGTGTATTTCAATTTCCCCCTTTTTTTTGTATAGCCTATAATCTTAACATTATTATTCTCCTACATTGCATTAATAGATTTTAGAACTGCTATAACTTTGATTTCTTCTTGGATCAATCTAACTCTGTATATAAAACTTAAAAGCTTGTAAGGTTTGATCTAAAGATTTGGTTACATTATATTTCAATTTTTTTGTAAAGAAAGATCAAGCACTTTAACTTTTTTATTTTTATTTTCAGTTCTGAATTCTCTTCTTCCCTCAAGGCCCTCCCCCACCCATTGTGAGGACATAAAATATCATACCCATTATACATATTAACTTATGCAGAACGTATTTCCACCTTAGCCATGTTGCAAAAAAATGCAAGAAAAATAAAGAAAGTGAAGGAGAATATGCTTTAATCTGCACTTAGAGTTCATCAATTCTTTCTCTGGAGGTAGATAGCATTTTTCCTCACGAATCCTTTGGAATTGTCAAGGATCATTGTATTGATAGAGTAGCTAAGTCTTTCACATTTGATTGCTATAGTATTGCTTTTCCTGTGTACAATGTTCTCCTAATTCTGTTCACTTCACTCTGCATAAGCTTATACAAGTCTTTACATTTTTCTGAAACCATCCCCTTCATCATTTCTCATAGCTCAATGGTATTCCATAACAATTATACACCACAATCTGTTCAGCCATCCCTCAATTGATGGGCACACACTGTTTCTAATTCTTTGCCACTACAAAAAGAGTTGCTATAAATATATATTTTACATATGAGTCCTTTTCCTTTTTCTTTGATTTCTTTAGGGGCACAGACCTAGTAGCAATATGGCTAGGTCTACACAGTTTTATAGCCCTTGGACATAGTTCCTCCAGAACGGCTGAACCAATACATAGATCCAACCATAATGCAGTAGTGTAACTATTTTTCCAAATCCCCTCCAACATTTGTCATTTTCTTTTTCTGTTGTCTTAGCCAATCTCATGGTTATGAGCTGTTTCGATATTCATCATTCTAATTATTAGTGATTTAGAGCATTTTTCATGACTATGGATAGCTTTGATTTCTTCTTCTGAAAACTACTTGTTCATATCCTTTGATTACTTGTCAATTGAGGAATGGCTCTTGTTTTTATAAATTTAGCCTAGTTCCCTTATGTTTCAAAAATTAGACCTTTACCAGAGAAGCCTGCTATAAAAATTTTCCCAGTTAACCTGCTTTCCTTCTAATTTTGGCCACATTCGTTGTATTTCCTTAAAATCATGATGTTGGCAATTATTTCATCTTGGGGTGAGTATTGCTAACCATTGCCCTTTGTGGCTCATACAGAATCAGACAGCTCTCCCTCCTTCACACTTTGAAATTTTTCCCCAAAATATTTACACGCCATTTAATCCAACTGATAGTGAAATTAGAACATGTTTCCTAGAATTGAAAAGAAAGTTTAAGTTCCCAGATGAAGTGCTGATGGCATAATAAAATATAAAATCAAAGCTTAGGATAACTATTGAAATATCTATAACAATATCATAGTGGGTTTTTCTTTCCTTATTTTATGAGAACCATGCAGGAAACTATCTAAATGAAAAATAGCCAGAATTGAGATGGATCTAACTGTTTTATCTTTTCCTTAATATATTATAAAATCTCAGTCTATTAATTAAGGTATAGAACTACAAATGAGGACACCAAAGTTTTCTTCCCTTTCTTCCACTAATCTATTATGAAACTCTTGGACTGTTGACATGTCAGTTTTCCCATTTGTCCAAAATGGATAGTATAATACTCATCTACTCTCACAGAGAGGCTATGAGAATTCATCATTTTACTTAGCTTTCAGATACCCTGATGCAAAGTGTCATAAAAGGTCAGAGTTTTATTATCACCAGTCATTTTCCAAGTGCTACCTATATGTGGAGTTTGATAAATGTTTTTAAATTGTGACTTTGCCCAAGAGAAGATGAGCTCCCTGACTGACATCCCCATGGATTACAGGACTTTAATGAGGTCATTGCTCAAAGGCTTTCCAGCTAATTTATGATGCTCTTCCATATATTCTATGCAACCTGAAAATTACACACCAACAGACACATGCACTTGACATGTGTTGGAGTTTAAGGAAAACTTTACCCCAGTACTGCCTAAATGGATGGATTATCAAAGTGAAGTTGATCTTTCTTTCATAAAGTGCCTCCTGGACCATCTTCAAGGAGGAGGGGGATTTCTTATAAATACGTGGATCACACTGCACTGACCTGTGGAACCTGAGTTGTAGCTAGAAAATAAAGATTTTATAGGATTGTTTCTGAAGTGAGGAATGGTTGAGCTGTGGCCTCATACTTTGTAGTTTTCCTTTTCAGCTGGTTTTTGTGGAGTTTTGTTTCTGTTTGGTGCTTTGCTTTTTTTTTCCTTCTTTTTTCTCTGTTACACTTCAAACTGTAAAGTTGCTCTATCTGTCCACAGGTGTCTGACATCTTGTCAAGTGATTCTGAGCCGGAAATATTTTACGCAAAGTACTTAAATTTGTATCAATAAAGAACAGCTTGTTCCTTATTTCTCAGTCAATATTGGCATGTATAAAAACTCCTTTAAAGCTCTTATCAACATAATAAACTGACTCCTCTCTCTCCTTTCCAGTTAGTCATTACCTGGATATTTTTCTTTTCGATAAGCAATCCACAATGTGTTTACTGAGGCTTGCATTCATATTCCCCCCCGGCTGTAGGGGCTCTTGCTTACTTCAAGCAGCTCCATGGCGTGTACCCACGGTGCAGTGTGCTTCGGAGTAGGCTCCTGAGCCCCTCTGGAATCCAGCATTATTTGTTCTCTCACTGTTCTAAAGGTAATTAAGGAGCATTGCATGTTTCCCAATTAATGATTCTTCATTCAACAGGGGATCTTTGATGCTAATTTGTTTTAATCATCAGAACCGAGGCTGGCTGCTCAAAAGCTCTAAACAATTCAGTGAAGAGGAACTCAGAATTTTTAATCAAGTGGAAGACATCTAAATGCTGCAAGGGACACATCCATCATAAGCTTTCACTTCCTGTTCATTTAACTTTGTGCTTTCAGATTGCATGAAATAATGTGTTAATCATCGAAGAAAGTTGACAGAAATTAACCCAACAATTCCATTGTTGGGAATGTTAAAAGTGTCATCCAGAAACAACTGTGCACAACAACAAAAATCTGTTTGAGGTTTTTCTAAACAACAATTTGTCCATTGTTAAACAAACAAACAAACAAAAATGGTAGCAACCAAATATCCAACAGTAGGGGAATAGTTGACCAAATCCTGGTGTGTAAATGTATTTGAAGTATGAGGAATACAACGAAACCAGAAAAGGCCATTGTGGAAATCAGGCCAATGCAAAAACTAATCAGAAAAATAATAGTACACCTTAATTGTGACTCTGTAAGAGGAAGATTGAATAGGAACAAATTGACAAAGAACCCCGATGGAGACAAAAAGGGGATGGCATTTTATGTTTTGAAAATCATTTATTTAATTGTAAATAGTTGCAAAGTCAGTTTAATTAGCTGTATTGATGTTTAATATTAAGTTTATAATAAATCATTTAAAAAGAAAATTGGGATCAAATGATTTAATCCTTTTTACTTCTATGTATAGGTGTGTGTCTTCATATTGTTCTGAAAAGTGTGGCAAGCACAAATGGAAGAACTGCAGTTAAACTACTCATTTTACCACCCATCTTGGTTAAGTTACCACTCAGTTGATGGCTACATAGATAATAACGGCTAGTAAAGTAAAAGTACCTTCTACGTTTCCTCAAATGGCAGTTTATTATAACAGAGTACATATATAAAGCAGCAGTGAATATACTGCAAAGCTCCACATCATAGTTCAAGTATCATCACCATTTTATAGATGAGATACCTGAAACACAGAAACGTTAAGTAACTTGCTCAAAGTCACCCAGCAGCTCCATCCCCACCAAGAAAAACAAATCACAGAATTTAAGACTGGTGAGTGGGGAGGGTCTATGGAACTGGTGGCACCATTATAATTCAAGTACATTATAAGTTAAATACAGTTTTGTAGGATGGTTTAGGAAATGACCTACTGTGTCTAACATAATTTTCATAAGAAAATACATGGAATATCTGAGTTGGAAGAAAGTTCAGAAGTCAACTAGTCCAATTCATACCTGAAAATGGATTTCTTCTACCATATCCCAAACAGATGACCATTAGTCTCTGCTTGAAGACCTCCAGAAAGGTAACCACTATCTCCCAAGGCAACCTACATTCTGTGCTGAGCCACTTCTAAATATTAGTAAGTTTTTTCTTATATCTCTTCAATTGTTAGTCACTACACCTTCTCCTGCATTTTGGAACCATGCAAAAATAGGTTAATCTCTCTTCACATTAAAAAAAAAATCCTTCACATACTTGAAACTAGCTATATGTTCCATCTCAGCCACTATCCATTACTACCACCATCAAGTCTGCTTTTCTTTAGGCTAAACTTTGCCAGTTCCTTCAACTGTAATCAGAGGTCATTGAGTGGGCTGTAACTCCCCAGGAATTTCTTATGCAGTGTCACAGACAAGAGGTCATCCCAGCTATACTGGAAAACCTCCATTATTGGGCATAGCCCATGACTTCCCTGGGCACTTTAGTCTACTTTAGATTGGCTCTAACTGGTAGGGAGTCTTTATCCTTATATCTAGGCTCTCTTCAACATGCACCCATTGTTCATAGTTATACCCAAATACTTCAAAACTATAATCCTCCCCTCCCAGATCTCCTTCACAATCTCTGCACTCCCATTTTCTTCAGTCAGTTCTCACAGGGAATATTTTCACCACCTTCATCTCTATTTTCCAGTTGGTCAATCTTCTATTTCCTAGAATACAAACCCCAGAACTGAGCAGAATATTCTAGTTGTGTCCTAACCAGAGCAATCTCACTAGATTATAATCTTACTAGATCCGGACACTATGCCTGTCTTAATATAGCCTACAATCATATCAGTTTTAATTTTGCTGTCAATGAACTAGAGATTCCAATTGAGATTGTGATGACTGGAAACCCCCTAATTCATGGGATCACAAGCTATTGCATTAAAAACAAAACAAACAAAAAACCAAGTTAAACTGGGACAGGGTCAAGGACAGTTTTATGAAGGCACTCCATCAACAACCTCCCTCCAAGTTTACACTGATCTATTTGAAGCATAAAGTCTGGGACTATTTTCCCAATCCTTACTCACACTGTCAAGTTGGGTCATC